AGGGACTTGAGCTCCCATCTTTTCCGGGCCCTGAGGCCTTATGTGGGCACTCCTGTAATGCCTTGCTCATTCAACACTCCCCCCTACCAATACAGGTCCACAGCCCCTTATCCTCAGCTCTGACACCCCAAACTCCCAGGTTATACCAGCTGGCCTGATGTGAGCATGCTTGTAATCTCCATTTATCCCACTTAATGTAAATGTTCATATATTTTACAGCAGAAGTATTCACGTATTTGAGTTTGTAAATACGTACCAAGCTGTTCTTACAATGTGTATTTCTGTATGTGTACTATGGTTCAATAAAAAAAAATTTAACAGGTTTGATTGTTGCCCTAGATTCTGCTGCCAGGGGTTACTTGATATACTGTGTGTACTGTATTATCTTTCTGAAATTTAAAATCTTCTGAATTCCAAACAACTTCTGGTCCAGGAGTGCCAGTGATGAGCTCACAGGCATCATGCTAAGCCATTCATCCACAGTTATGTATGAATGTATGACATGTGTATCATGCCTTATGGTGCCATAAAAGTCTTGAAAAGAGTGTATTTTAGAACTCTGGTTTTCTGTTTCAATAAAGAAGTGACACCATAAAAGGGGAGAGGGTCTGCACAATACAGAATACATAAAAGAAACTCTCTATTCGACAATGCAGTGCACCCTCCCATCAACAGCCTGACATATAACCTCCCAGACCTTCCCCTAAAGCACATTTACTAAAAATGTGCTTCTAGAAACGGAAAGTGTTTTTTGTGTTTTCAGAGAATGAGGTCTTCTTGCACAAACTATTTTGCAATACGCTTTCCCACCTAACACCGCTTCTTCATTAGCCACGCGGTGCGGATGTACTCGCTTGAGCCAATACCCAAGGGAGGCATTCGGGTTGGTTCCAGTCCTTTTCTCTACGGCACACTAAGTACTTTATTCTGTCCTTTTTAAATTTTTATTTATTTATTAGAGAGAGGGGGAGAGAGAGAGAGAACCATGGGTTTGCTGTTCCACTTATTTATGCATTCGCTGGTTGCTTCTTGGCTGTGCCCTGACCCAGGCTCAAACCCGCCGCCTCGGCGGGGCAGGAGGACGCTCTTGTCTAACCAAACCGGGCAATCCGGCGGACACGCACTTTATTCTTGTAACTTCTCACAACACCCGAGAGGTTCGCGCTCCATTCTGGTCCTCTAGTGACCGAGGAGGAGGCTCCGCTCGGAGAGGGCGAGGGACTCACCAGGGTCGCGCGGGAGGACGCGGCAGGCGGGAAGGGGGACCCCCC